TCTCCACTTTTTCAGCAAATTTGTTCCATTGGTCTGTAATGGAGTCTTGGTAAAGTATTGTTGTCACTTTCCCTTTTATCCTGTAGGGTGTATGATTTGTATATTTGATAAGATTGGCTGTAAAAAGCTTTAGGCAGAGTAGAGTGTAGTCACTGTTAACTATGTCTGTGAAGTCCTCATTGGTAAAGGAGTGTATATTGTTTGAGGTGATATCTGGTGAGATCCATATATAGTCTATTCTGCTGTGGGTGGATCTGCCGATCCAGGTTGGGGATGGAAGGTCTGCCTCCCAGGCTTTGTGGATGTCTGTGAAAGCCCAGTCGTTAAGAAAGTTAAGCAGTTCTGTTTAATATTTATTTTTTTATTTTTTATTTTATATAATTTTAAATCTGTATTTATAGTTACTTAATACTATATTTAATATATATTAGTTTTAATATCTATTTTCTTTTATTATTTAAATAATTTCTATAAGCAAGCTAGTATTAAACATATTAATTAATTAATTATATAATAGATATTATTATTTTTTTATATAAAATACTTTAAAATTTTTATAATATAATAAAGTAATAATATTTATTTATTTTAAAAAATATATATAATTTTATATATTTAATATTTTTATTATATTTGAAAAATAAATATATTAATTTTTTATATAAATTGAAAATCAACTTATTTTTGGGGGAGGTTTTTTCCAATAGATAAATATCATTTCTTTATTTGTTATTATATATTGTAGGTATATATTAAGAAAGAAACAACATCTCTTGGATGTGTATTGTATACAACAAGTTAAATATTAGCTTGCCTACTTGATCACTATTTAACTAATTTTGTAAAAAAATTTTAAAAGCAATATTAAATGTTAAATAGCAGAGTAGTGGCTATGTCTATCTACTTAATAAAATTTTGCATAATTTTTTAATTTTTTGAATATAAAATAAATGAAAAGAAAATAACAACAGTAATTAAAACTAAAATTAAATCGAATGAACTATAAAATTTATAAGTAGAAATCCAATTATTTTCCTCAAAAAGTCCTAAACAGGCACGTGGTTCCATTTCTCCGACTTTTTGATTATTATAGATAAAAAAGTACATGTGATATTGTTTATTGTTATAGTTGTTGTTGTTGTTATACTGGAAAACCAGTTTGAACAGGTTTGGTTTTTTCTTTGTTGTTTTGATGAAATTTGATTGAATGATTGGAGAGCAACAATCATCTGGAGGGGATAAACTGATTTCAGTTTTTTGGACAAAAAGTTTTGAAAATTTTGAAATGGTGCAGTAATTGTCGCCATAATAAGGTTGTATGTAAAGGTTGTGTTAAAACAAACAGTAGACCCAATAACTTTATTTGAGTGTATTTTTTGAAAAGTATTTGACTTAGTGTATATAATGGTATTGATGTAGATAGTTTTTATATTATGATAGGTAAAAGGAGTGGTGCAAAAGAACAAAAGAAAAGAGAACTGCCACAGGCCTTTCCTTATGTAACCGAAGGATAAGCAAGACTCCCAAACTTGAGTAGACTTTGACCAGAGATCCCATCTTATTGCAACAGTTGTCTTGAAAGTTTTTGAGTTCTTGAGTTGGGGCTCACTTGCGATAAAGAGTATAAAACATTTTTTTTTGACAAAGATTATTATAAAAAAAAATTTTTTAGTAAAGTAAACATAATCAGGAGAAAGTTTTGATGAAAATCAACATATATAAAATAATTAAAATATTTTTATATATAAAGTATTTAATTTATTTTTATAATTTATTGATTTTGTTTATTATATATCAAGTTAATTTTAAAAAGCAAATATATCAAATTTCAATTATAACTTATATAAATTATAAAATTGTTATAATAAGTAATCTCTTATAAAATAAAATTTAATTAATAACTATCTTAATTCTTAAAAAAAGAAATTACATATATATATTTTAAAAAATATTTTGATTATTATAAAAAAAATTATTTTTTTGATTTTAATTATTATTAAATTATATTAATAAATTTAATGTTATTCAATATATTGCTTGTTTAAAAAATTTTTAAATATTAATTTATTAAAATATTATATTATAGTTTTAATATACAGTATATATATTAACAAATATTTCAAATTTTAATTAAATTTTTTTATAATAAAATATTTATTATAATAATAATTATTAATAATTTTGTTTCCAGTGTAATTATACACTAAGGATATCCAACACATCTTCAAATGTTTATTAGCATCAGAAGATATCAACTAACTTATCATTATTATTAACAATATTCTTTATACTAATAGTGATTACAAGTCTATCTCATATGTTTAGCAACTAGCAAAGCTGATATGTGATATCACAAACAATATTTTTTTCATAACTAATTTTTCCAATTGGGTTGAAGCTTTAATCGAAACTTTAGCTTATCTATATAAGTCAATTTGGACATTCCATTGTATCACAGCAAACACCTTTTCTTTTATTGGCATCAAATAGAATAACAATTTTCATAATGATATAACAAACCAAACTATCAAAAACCTAGCCAAAACTAAATCACCCAATAACAACTCCATATCAACATTAATTATTATATATGTACCTATCATTGTAACTAACTTATATATTCAAAGTGGATTCAACTTCACTAAATGCATCTCCAAACTAATTTCAGATCTTTTTAACTTCTTTCTACTCAATGCTAAGTAAGTAATCATAGTTGCTTGAAGTTACTTGATAAGATATATTGTTTTAAAAATTTTTTTTCAATATTAGTTTAATGGTTACTGTAGGCAAGCTAGCATTTAACTTGTTGTACTAATACATATGAGAGATGTTGTTTCTTTTGCAATGTATATCTATTATTATACAAATAAATAAAGAAATGATGTTTACCTATAAAAAAAAACAAAAAAAAACAAATATTAATAATTTAAACAAAAAAATAATTTATAGTTTTGAAATTTTAAATATGTATATACTTTTTTAATTAAAAAAAAAAAAACTTTCTAAAGTAAGATTGTATAAATCAAAAGTTATTTAATTTAATTCAAAAAAATTTATATATAAAAAAAGGTTGTTCATATTTAAAAAATAGTTATATATAAACTTCTATATTTAATAAAATAATTTTTGCCTACAATATACTGTATATTTTCTTCAATACCGTTATACCGTATTGTATAATTTTTAAATTTAATTTTTTGTATTGTATACTATTATGCTCGTAGTATTTAATTTACTAACACGACTAACGCGTATACTCGAGTATCGTTGATGATGCCGTAGTTATTTGATTAATGTGCGTAGGTGGTACAATGAAGGGCCTGCGCCGTCGAGAAAGTGTTAAACGTTTAGAATATTAAACATCACAAAACAAACATTATCACAACGGTTGTTTAAAAAAGTTTTCATCTGTTGGGATATAGCATAGTCACCGCAGATAAATATTAGGTGAGTCGGTACCAACACAACTTAATCGAATGGGTGATATTTTTAGCAAAAAAGGAAATTAAAATCTCGAGAGATTCCCTGTTTTGGAATTCAACTCGAGGCAAAATCTCATAATTGGGCAAAAGTTTTGTTACGCAGTTTGCTCCTTCATATGATCAATTCATAAAATTCTCATGAATTTCCGGATACTCCCTGTTTTTTTTTTTTTTAAATGCTACGCCACATTTTCCCCAGAACGTATCGTGTAACATCCTTCACATTGAATAGAGATCGTGTAACAACTTCAGAAAACACAAACATTTATTTCCGATATATAAAACGTGTCATGTCATCATTGATAACATCATCATACTGATTAATTCCGAGTGTTTTTAATATAAAATCTGACTTTCCAGTTTTTACGGCTTTGACATTGTTAGGATGAATAGTAATACCGCGCATTCTTATATCACACAGAACATCACTTATTCCCGATGTTAAGCGTGAATCCAATATCATCCGTTATATCAACGTGATTGTCAAAAATAACTTTATCATCGTATCACACATTCGTCATGGGATGCGTAAAAAAGCGCTTTAAAGCTTGTTTAAATCCAGTAAAAACTGTGCGATAGAGAAATAATCGTTTAGGGGCTTGATGTAGGGTGGATGAAAAATGACATCTTCTCCTCTACTTCGTATTTCCCTTACCCCACAATTTATTTGACACTTTGCGTCGAAATTAAAATATGATAACCTATACAATACAAAGCAACGGTAATGCAGATCCTTATAAACCATACTTCTCGTTATACTAAGGAAATAGAGCATATCAGGTTTAATTAAAAAATATTAACAAGTTTTTTTTTTTTGCTTTGTTGAAATAATAACCCTCGGGTACACATAATTGACAGTTATTATAGTGATCCCATAATACAAATATCATATAGCAACAGAATAATACACTATATTTTATATCACAATATATAAAACACACCAGTTTTGAGAGCTCCTGAATTTTTTTAAAAATTCTTTTTGCCAAAATCACCATCATCCGTACACCAATAGATATCACTTGTAAAGCGAGGATTGCACGTTGCTACTTGCTCCTCTCTTCAACATTTCGTCTTTACTGAAATATCATTTTCCGTGTATAATCTGAATTGGCAATATCGAATTAATCACCTTTTATTTTACACACGCATATTTTTTGTTCCCATACTCAAAGATAAATTCTTTTTCTCGTGTAAATTTTTTGACTATTATATATTTTCTAATTGAAGAAAATTTTTTTTCGAAACAAAAAGAAAAAACAAATAAAACGCTACTTGAATTGCACCAAAATATACGTATAACTCAGCACGATAGAATTAACACGATAAATACATACCGTTGCATCTGCGATAATGTCACCAATAACACGTAGCGTAACGAGTCCACAGCGTATTTGCAATCCAAATTTCCCCACCCCCCAGGACTTGGACAGCGCCTATCGCATATCCGCCCCACGCATTCAAGAAGATGCCAAAAAATATCTCGAGATACTCCTGGACTTCGAGAAGGTCCGCGAACTCTATAATCCCTTCTCCGAAGAGTATTGGTTTGTCAATAACATCGATGCACTCAACCAAGTGGTCTACTACAAAATGAAGAGATGCTTATTCCTAAGGTACAAACAACAATTCGTCAAAGCTGGTATAGAATTAGAATTCATAAGGTCTCAAGGGAGTGGTATAGGCTGTGGGAAGATTGGCTGTGAAGATGTTAATTGTAGTGGTACGAAACTGGAAGACAGCTACCTTGGAGATGATGGAGATGACATGGATATGTTTTGTCCGAATTCGACAATGTTCAATGCTAGTCGACAAAGTTCCGAGGTTTCCAGTTTCCGTTATCAAGATTCCGAATTATCTGAGCGTTCTGTTACCACCGATATAACCAATAACTTGGTTAAAAGGTCAGCGAAACCATCTATTCCGCCTACGACGTTAACATCGATGGCAGTTTTTGATCGCGGCATTGGATTTTCTCATTTTGATCCATCGTATTTCTTGGACGAGAATCCTTGTATCAAAAAGGACGATTCCGCACAAACTATTACTGGAGATTACGAAGAAAGCTTACAGCCCATTCAACTACTTCATCCACAACATCACAATAATAGGGCCCGATTTATACAAAACATCCTTCGATACATAAAGTGCCAATTCTCGATTAATTGGTTTCATAATTTGCCAAAAGAAAGAATCTATTATTCTATGTTGTTTTTGTTTATGTTTGTGGCAGTGTTCTTTTTTTTTCATTCTTTGGGGTTCAAGAGCGAACATTATTCCACAGGCAGTATTGAGAGCATTAACGATGAATTTTCATCACAATTTGATAATGGTGACGGAATGCAAAAACAACGACAAAAGATTTACAAGATCCTGGACAATGACAAGTTAGATGGTACGGTTAAAACTCAAGTAAAGGAATTCATCGAA